GAAGAATTCAATGCCTTTTAAGACTTTTTAAGGACCCGCGGGAACCCTGTTAATAAAGCAAGAGAACATGTTACAAGAAGACAGGTAGAGGTAAACACACCAGAGTCCTTGAGGAAAACCTGCCAGAAGGCTGCAAACGAGATGAGCAATTTACCCTCAACATACAGTCAGAACCAGAACCAAATGGTTCAGATACAGGTCTGAATGGTCTTGCGTTAGCATTTGTTAGATTGGCCCTGTCAAAGCCCTGGTGTCTCTACAAAGTGTTTACTTAGAGGAGAGAAAGAAACACAAACAAAAATGAGCCTCTGTAGCCACTACTGATAAATGCTGCTGTGCCTCAAACGTTTGCTTGGGCAAGATTACATATTTCTCATAGTCTGGATCCCTTTAACCCTTTATAGGGAACTCAGTGAAATACTTTGAAAGTCACCTTAGAGCAGGGGTCTGCAACCTGCAGCTCCAGAGCCACATGTGGCTCTTTGGATCCTCTCCTGCAGCTCTTAAAATGTATATAAAGAGATAAATAATTTACTATAATAAATACCAGTATTAAAAGATTTAGTCTTTTTTAAAACATGGAAAACAGAAATATGTTTTAAAAGCTTTTATGAGAAATTATGTGTTTTATTATTTTAAAACCTAGAAATACATAATGTTCTTTTGAAAAAGTTATAATTTGCGGCTCTAAACAACTTTTACTTGGTCGTACTCGAAGCAAAATGCCTCTTTGGATATGAAAGGTTGCAGACCCCTGCCTTAGAGGCGTTAATGCTGATACTGGCACTTACATCTTTTAGTTTATAAACCTAAATATAATTGTTAACCAGGCTTATTGACTTTTTAACTTTTCAATTAGCTTTTTACCTTTTTTTCTTGACTTGTTAACTCTTTTTTTTTTTCCAACTTAATTTACAGTAGGTAATAGGGGTGTAAATAATAATCGTTTTGTAACGATGCATCAATCCAACAGCCAACGATCCGATGCATCGATGCGTCCGCAAGATAATTGAATTATGTGTTTTTTTTTTCTTCCAGTCTATTTTTATCCATTCGCTCCTGGACGTAATTCTCCCTCCCGTGCTGCGGTGGCGCTAAACCTATTTTGCCCTCCTACCTCGCTTCCTGGTTATACTCTTACAGCAGTTTGTTGCAGTGAGCTTTATGCAGACATTTTTAAATTATGCTCAATATTGAAGCGTGGTCTGCGTTACACGCTGTGGGTCTAGATACGGCGGCGAGAAAGTGGGGGCGAGTTTAGTCCGACGACGGAGGGACTAAACTCGCCCAGAAGATCCAGGTGGAAAAAGGACCCAGCGTCCCTCCTGTCTGCGGCAATGTTTGCGCTCAGCTACAATTTGGAAGAGGTGCATCTCCCAAATTGCAAGAGTTATGCAAGTGTTCAAAAACGCTAACTTGCCCTATAAAGGGTTAACATTTGAACAAAGATTCTAGAGATGTTTTGTTTTAATACTTTCCACTCCTCTCTGCATAACAACTATCTGTAAATTGTTAGAAATAGCCTTAGAAATCCTTAGATTAACGGACAGCTACGTTTATTCTCTAAGGTTCGTCTTGTTTTGTAACATAATGACAGCTCTAAATATATCCTTTGGTGGTATGCTGCTTTTTTCCCCATGACCATGAACGCAACACTGCATATGAGAGGCGGGAGCTACTCCAGCTTTCACTCTTGTGTTCCCCTTTTCTAGCTTTTCTTCCATTTAAAATCTCAGTGAGGTAGACAACCACTGTTTCAGACCGTTATGAAGAGTCTTACATCAGAAATAGACATAACCCCTGACTAGGCAGTGGTTTGAAAAACAGGTTAACTGAGGTCAATCCAGCACGCCATACCTGAGCCTGCTGGCTCTCTTATGATGCAATATGGCCTCCGTCTATTCACGCCGTCCCTGGAAGAAAAAAAAGAAGAGGTCAGAAGATTCTCAGAGACTAAAATGGCTCTGCATCTCAGCATTGCAACTTTCCTCGACATGCTTTCCAGAGGTTTAAGCATCATTGTGCATCTGCAGAAAATAAATCCCTCAGATGAATAAATGAATTTCAATTTACTTTAGCTGAACCCATTCTGTCAGGAGATAAAACAATAGAACAGCATTGCACTGGCAAATTGGACACACGCAAACACAGGCTCTCCTTTATGTAAACGGCAAAACGGCTTCAGTAAACTGAAATGCATCTTGACTGGAGTTTTAAGTGCAATCAGCCGATGGCTCATCAGTATGCCGCCGCCGCCGACACCCCTATCTCCAAACTGTGGCAACAAACAGACACGATGGGAGACGGAGCGATCGTTCATGAGAACTTATCATTCAAGGCCCACTTACGCCTGCAAAAGGTCAAATGAAATTCTCTTCTATCAAACTGGGTTTTCCATTTGATTAATAAGCTTTTGGTGCAGACGCAGGGCCTGAAAGAATCTCGAGAGTGCTTCAAGCCGTCTCTTACCTTGAGGATACGACCAGTTAATACAGGCCTGACTGGCGCGCACAGTGTGACTTTTACATTTCAATTTCTTCTTGATCAGCTGAAATAGTCTGAAATCCTCTGTTACCTAACATTTTTATATCAGGCATTCAGCTGTAAGATACTGATGTTTGATCACTGTCAGAAAAACATGGCCGTCACCATGCCTCTTGTTGTGAAGGGAAATCATTTGTTGCACGTTAAGGGGAATTAAACAGACTTTATAACTGTGAATGAAGGCTATTCATTTACAGGTCCGGAGCATATTAGAAACTAGCCCCACAATAATCCTTTAATATCCTACAAAGAGTGATGCCTTTGGCTATGTTCACACTGCAGGCCTCGATGCTCAATTCCGATTTTTTTTGTGAAATCCCTTTTCAGCCAGCTGATAAAACTTTAACTTCTTAGTGGGGTAGAAAACCATTAAAAGAGCAGGGATTAGGCCTTTAACTGAACGTTGGTGGTAAATTTCACAAGATAAACTGAAAAGAAAAATGGTCCAAAAAAAAAAGTGTTTTTTTTTTTTACTTGGGACTAGTGAAGTTGGCCCCCCCAGCTTCTTGAAATCAGACAAAATTAGTGTCAAACCTTTGTGCTGGTTTGTGCAGCAAAAATGTTTGTTTGTGCTGCTATCGTTTTAAAGATATAAAGAAAAATTTCTAGAGGTCATCAAAGGTCAACCAGCCCCCCCACCTTTTTCAAATCAGACGAAATAGGTGTCAATCAACTCAGCTCTGTTTGTGCTGGTTTGCTTTGGCTTTGAAGATTTGAAGAAGGTGGGGGGGCTGGTTGACCTTTGATGACCTCTAGAAATATTTCTTTATATCTTTAAAACGATAGCGGCACAAACGAAAAGTTTTGCTGCACACACGTTTGACACTAAGGCCCCGTCCACACGAAGTCAAAACGAACACGAAACGCTGATATTTTCCAAAACGT